CTTCTCCTTCTTCTCCTTCTTCTCCTTAATCTTCTTCTTCTGTTTTGTTTTTGTCAGTCATGGGGCCTGAACTCTGGGCCTGGGCGCTGTCCCTCAGCTCTTCAGCTCAAGGCTAGTGCCCTACCACTTGAACCACAGCGCCACTTCCGGCTTTTTCTGCTTATGTGGTGCTGAGGAATCGAACCCAGGGCCTCATGCATGCAAGGCAAGTACTCTACCACTGAGCCACCTTCCCAGCCCCTCTCTTTTCTTTTTAATAGTTACTTTATGCGATGACAAAAGCAATGTATACTTATTTTTGAAAAGGCTGAAAGTAGAGAGACATAAAAGAAAAGTGTGTCACCCCAGTGTCGGGACGGCATCTCACCAGCAGGCGCTCCGCTCTGCTGCCCGCTTCTACGCAATCCTCACAACCACTGCTCCTCCACAGCTCCGTCTCCGTGTGAGCTGTCTGGTGAGCATCTTCACATTTCCGCAAGGATTCTTCCTATGAAATCTCAGGGGCTTTAAGACCTTCTCTCCAGCGGATGAGTCTCAGTTGATTCAAACGTTCCTGGTGTCTACTTTCTGAATTGGGCAAGAGCAATCATGTGGGTTTGTAGCCAGCCACCCTCGTGTTAGTGTTAGGTAGGATACATTTTCAAAACCTAGGAACTTCTCTGATCGCTTTGATACCAGTTGCTGAGCTACTTTCTGGAAAAGCTGGTTGGTTTGCCATTGTGTGGTAGCCACTCATGGCTACCAGGCAAGAGGGAGAAGCAGCGACCTAAAGACCTCCCCCCTCTGGAAGCTTTCAACACCTCTTTTTTTTTTTTTTGTCAGTCATAGGACTTGAACTCAGGGCCTGAGCACTGTCCCTGAGCTCTTTTGCTCAAGGCTAGCACTCTCTACCACTTTGAGCCCCAGCACCAACAGTTTTCTGGTAACTAATTGGTCACAAGAGTCTCATGAACTTTCCTGCTTGGACTGGCTTTGAGCCATGATCCTCAGATCTAAAGCTCCTGAGTAGGTAGGGTTACAGTTGCGAGCCACCAGCACCCAGATCACACCAGGGAACAAGCCTTCAGGAAGATGAGGAGTTCAAGATCCAAATCAGAGGAAACAGAACGTGAATTACAGTATGGTCTCAAATGTGCAAAATACAGATGCTGAGTGGAAAGAACAAGACACAGGGTGGTTATTTCAGCTCAGGGGGAGGCTTTGGGAGGACCAGTGCCGGGGCTTTGGGGTAAACACTGTGACACTGCTTGGATGCATGGTAAAAATGACTAGTTCCTGATGGAGCTCATGTGGGTAGAGTTTGTTGCAAGCTCCTCTGAAGAGCGTATTTTTCTCTTCCTTTCTCAGAGTGTCCAATACGTTCTTTTGAGCTGGTTTTACTTAGCAGCAATTAATTATCTCAGCTAAAGATTGGGGAAAGACAAAAAGAGGTAACAGGAATGAAAGCCAGCTCCTAAAGGAAGCTACGAGACTAGAAGCAGAGAAGAGGGGCAGAGGGTGGAGAAGGAAAGACCAGTGTGTGTGTGTGTGTGTGTGTGTGTGTGTGTGTGTGTGTGTGTGTGTATGTGTGTGTAATGGCTGCCATTGCCAGTAGACTGTTGGCATTGGGGATGGCCTAGCCTTCGAAAGCACAGAAAGTTAGTGCTGTCAACCTTAGCTATCCCATGTGGACCCGTCAGCTACCCAAGACCATCCTCCAAAAGCCTCCGTGGGAGGAACTGCTCAAGATGGAGGAGAGATGCTGGGCTCTGGCGGCTCACACCTGTTATCCTAGCTACTCAGGAGGCTGAGATCTGAGGATCGCGGTTCAAAGCCAGCTGAGGCAGGTAAGTCTATGAGACTCGTATCTCCAATAAAGCACCAGAACACCGGAAGTGGCACTGTGGCTCAAGTGGTAGGGTGCTCGCCTTGAGCTGAAGAGCTGAGGGACAGCGCCCAGGCCCAGAGTTCAAGCCCCATGACCAACCAAAAAGAAAAACAACTTGGAGGAGAGGCACATCCGGGTGACTTGCGAGCTGCCTGGGGGTGGATGGGATGGCGGCTGGAGGCAGTCTGGATGTGAGGAGAGGGCCTTCCAGGAGGCCTGCTGGGCACTGACACCCAGAAGCAGCAGCAGCGTGGGCCCGAGCCAGAGAGAGATGCAGACATTGGGGTGCCTGGTTGGCAGCTACCCTGAGATGAGCCAGCTCAGCCACATCTTATTTTTATTTTTGTGGTGGGGCTTGAACTCAGAGCCTGGGCATTGCCTCTAAGCTTTGTTGCTCAAAGCTAGTGTTCTACCACAGTGCCACTTCTGATTTTTTTTTTTTTTTGGTGGTTAATTGGAGATAAGAGTTTCATGGACTTTCCTGCCTGAGCTGGTTTCGATCCACAATCCTCAAACCTCAGCCACCCTGATTAGCTGGGATTACTGGCGTGAGCCACTGGTGCTCAGCTAACCTGCATTCTCAAGGCAAGCCTTCAGTTACTGAAAGAAAGTTCATGATAATTTTAGCTCTCCTGGAATCTGCTAGGCATTGATGCTCAGTGCAATCAAGGGCCGCTTCACGTCTGCTGAAGACGGAGTGTGTTCACTTGTGGATTTATTTCAGCTGTTTGGGGAGAAGTGTGGGTTGTACTTGATCCCCCCTGGAGTGGAAGGACTGCTCACCTCCGCCTTGTCTCTGCCTCTTTTTTTCCCCCAAACCTGTCTCCAATGGCCCCAGGGACCCTGTTCCTGAACTCATGGAGGAGAAATCTTTCTGGCTTGGAGGGCAAGAGAGGCTGACCCCTTCCCATGGTGTGCCATTTCTAGAAGCTTCTGGGACCAGAAGCCCCAAGTCTCGCGAAGGCAGGCTACTTCTTAGTCTGGAGTCCTCCCAGAGTCCTCCCGGAGTCCTCCCGGGCCCTGTGTCCTGGGGTAGAAGGCAAGTTTTTGTTCAACGATTCCAGTCATACTTCTTAGCAGCCCCTTCTCTGGGTGGGGCTCACACAGCACCCAAAACTGAGTACTTCCTCCCTCAACTTACTCACATGACGTGTTATTTCCAGCTAACAGAGTTGGATGCTTGGGTGAGGAGGGAGCGCAGCTCCGCCGCACGCTGTCCCTTTATCTTTCTGCCCATCATGCTCATCTTGTGGCCCAGCAGTCTTGAAAGAGAGGATCTTGACAGCACAAGAAAAGCACAAGGTGAGGGGCCATCGCCTCCCCACTGAGTTTCTCTCTAACCCTCCCTCCCTTTCATGCCAGTGCCCCAAGTGGCTGAGGAAGTGGGTTTTGCGGTGGGTGGAGTTCTCTAACCCAGGAAGTTGAAAGTGCCCTGCCAAGTGGGTAGCACGCAGAGCCCTCCACTTCCTGTCTTCTACGTCTCCGCGCCACGCCCGGCCTGCTGCTGTGGGTAACTCCGAGTGACAGGATGTCCCCATGCAGGGAGCTCTTCTGCCGAACCCAGCAGATAGCAACAGACCATGACTCAGGCCCAAGGCATTCCTTTCTGACTGGAGCCCTGCACTCTGGAATGCCAAAGGCAGGAGAAGTCGCAGAGCAGGATCAGAGATGTGGAAACTCAGCCCCAGGAGCCATGTCCAGGGGACAGTCCTCACACCGAGGGCAGCGGGTCCTTCTTCCCACCACCAGCCTCTTGAGCTGTCCGCCTGGTGAGGACGAGGCCCGGAGCCCCCTCGGCTGCCTGCACCCCCCCCCCCCCCGTCTCCATGGTCTGGCCTTGCTCCTGGCAATGCGCAGGGGCCCTGAGCACACCCCTTAGATGGCACGTGGCACAGAGCTCGTTCAGCCACATTCTCCGTGTTCCAACCTGGCCTGTCCACACTGCTTCCTGTCACCCCACCCACCCTCATCTGTAGGACTTGGGCCAGAAAGCTAGAGCCTCTTCCCCACCCACCCACCACCCAGCAACCTCGGAGCCACTTTTGCTATGAGAGAGAATTCCCCCTTCAGTGACCACACAGACTTTGGGCTCCACTCCAGGGCAGGTATGTGCCGAGTTCGAGATCAGGGCAGTGGCTCCATGCTCTTCTAGAATGCTGGCCCAGGATTCATAGAGGTCATTTCAGTTATATCTGTATTGACAGGAGGTCCTATTTTCTAATTTTAAAGGATTCTGTTCTACACAGAACCCCAGGCATTGTCTCCCAGAATAAGACTTTATCTGTTGGAATGGTTTAAGCAGAGGTACAAAGCTGAAATCTGGGCACAATTTCAATTTTTTAACATAAACTTTTTTTTTCCTGAATGGAGAATTAGGTTTGAGTCTGGTTTAAACAGATGCTGTAGTAAATTCTGAGTAATTATTAACAAGTGTGGGAGCAGGATTTGAAAATCAGTTAGTGATCTCAGTCTGTGCTGTGGAGTGCTTCCACTGAACTGAGCACAGAAGTCTAATTCTGCAGAGAGAAAAACACCACGGAGTGGAGAAGATGTGAACCTGTTTTATGCGAAGCTCATGTCTTCAATATCTAATAAGATCACCATCTCCATTACACTTGGCCTTTTTCCTTCCAACTTTGGTGATTCTACTTGCTAGAAAAGAGTAAGCCAGCTTTACTGACATGCTTTTGACCAGTCAACAACAACAATACCAATAATACACTTTAAAAAGTCAAAAGAAATTTCTAAAACACACAAACAAACAAATGGCTGTGGGTGCCTCTCACAGCTCAGTCGAGGAAGAATGGCTCTCTATCAGTCCTAGGTTGTGGCCCAATTGTGTTTAAATCATTGTGTGAGCTGTTGATTGAGGTCCCGCTCTCCGTTTTGTAAAATAATCCCCTCACCACAAACTAAGTTTGTGCCCCAAAGCAAGGTAAAAGTTAATATGCTTAGTTGGCGTGATAAAGTAAAATCTGAGATTTGTTGGAAGGCGTCCTGTCATAGCAGAAGTTGGCAGTATTGTAGGAGAACCACAGGACCTTTGAGTGGACAACATGTGCCTCCTGCCCTGTGATTGTATCTCCTGCTGGTGTCCCAGCCATTCTCGTCTGTGTGGCTAGGCTAAGTTGTCTCTAATCCATGTGGCGCTCATTCAGTGATGAGTCTCTCAGATCAGCTGTCTGTTGTTAAGTGACTTGTGACTGTATTCGTTGTCTGCTGCTGGCCTAACAGGCACAGGTTTGGCAGACCACACACATGTCCTCCTACAGTTCTGTCTCTGTGGAGTGGGACATGAGTCCTATTGCACTGCAATCGGAGGTGTCCAGGGTTGGATTCCTTTGGGAGATGGCTACAGGAGAATCAGTTCCATGGCCTTGGACTTCTTCAAAGCCCACACTGGCAGGACCATTTCTTCTTACAAGACACTGTTCCAACTCCTTCCTCTTCCTCCTCTTCCCCCTCCTCCTCCTTCTTCTGTGTTTGAGGACCTAGTGATTACACTGGACACCCCGGGAATATCCAAGATCATTTCCCTATTTTCAGATCAGCATCAACAACCTTAATTCACCTAGGGCGTGACCCTCCCTTTACTCTAATAACTAGAACACAGTCCCAGGTTCCTGGGATTATTATGTGCTTTTATCATGGTACTACAGTTGGACTTACTTGATCATGGTGACCCCCTGTTGGACCCCTGTGTTCCACAGGGAAGCCGTTGAGTTCTGAGCCTGTGTCTTTCTTGATCACTGCACCCCACCCTCCTCCAGGAGAGGTCTGGGGTCCCAGTTCCGCCCTATGCAGCTGGAACTGTTCTCTTGTTGGGGCTCTTGCCAGCTTCATCAAAGTAAACCTTCAATGTTATCTCACAGTCTATTTGCTTCCCTCCCTAACAACCCGACAGCTTGTTTTTGTGGTTTCTATGGTTTCTAAAACTCTTGCCAGTGTTCAGCCATTTTTTATGCTTCTTGGAACTTTGACGTTT